GCTCGGCCACGCACAAATGGGCTCAGCTTCTCCTCTGCATCCCCCCTGCTCTCCCGGGCAGAGGCAGCGGGGGATCCGACGAGAAGTGAAAGAGCACTTCAGCCGCGGGGGGGGGGGCTGTCAGAGCCGCTGTGACAGAACGGACGAACAGTGAGGGGAGAGAGAGGCGCCGGCTGTCAGATCCAGGCCGAGCATCTCTCTCCTCACCGCTCTGCATTAGTTCTGTGACAGCGGCTCCGTCCTCCGCCCTCCCCAGCCGTCGGTTCCTTCACTTCTTCTGGGATCCCCGCTGAGAGCATCGGGGAATCCAGAGGAGCGGCGGGAGGAGAGGACATGGCGATCTACCAGTGATCGCTACGCGATCGACTGGTAGATCGCGATCGACCTTGTGGGCACCCCTGCCCTAAGGAGAACTATGGTGAAAAACTGACCCCATAGTTCTCCTTATATAGGAGTTAATGATAGAACAAATGTTTTCCTTTTAACTTGCTTAAAGTGACACTAAACTCAGGAGTTAAATCATAGAAATACATTCAAGTACCTTAACTATAACGAAACTGCACCTTATTTGTGCATCATTCAGCTGTAGATTCTCAAATCTCTGAATTTATGCTGACCCTGCCCTTCCTTCTGGAGGGTGGCTACTTTTGTTCCCCATGGTCCCTGTTGTGTTTTAAAGTAGCCACCACTCCAAGCTCACTCCCATGATGGACTACAATCTCAATACAAATTAGTAAACTAAAATGTGAGATTGTAGTCCATCACTGAACCGATCTTGGAGTGGTGGCTATTTTACACACACAGGGACCACGGAGAACAAAAGTAGCCAAACTCCAGAAGGAAGGACAGTGTCAGCACCAATTCAGAGATTATTTGAGGATCTACAGCCGAGTGATACACAAATAAGATACATTTTTGTTAATCGGTGCTTGAATGCATTTTTAAGATTTAAAGGAGACCTAGGAGGTGAGCGCTTTTCACTCACCTCATAGTTCTAGCCGACCTGTGACAATGAGACTGTCATAGGTCGGCTCAGTAGATCGGGAGGTGAGCGAACACATATACCGGCGTTCGCTCACCTCTCGATCCTGTCACGGCTCTCTGCCGTGACAGGGGAGGGGCTAGATTCCCCCTTCCCACTCCGATCCGCCAGCGCTGAATGGCGGAACGGAAGGGGGAGGGGGCGGGTACAGCTGGCTCTGCCTCTAGATAGGCAGAGCCAGCTGTTAGTCACGCAGCTGGGCGGATCAGACATAATTTGCGGGATCCGCTGGAGCTGCAGCGTCTCGGTATACTGCGAGCAGCAGCTCGCGGTATACTGCGGCGTCTCAGTATACTGCGAGCTACAGCTCGCATATCCACTGAGAAAGAAATTTAAAAGAAAATTAAAGCCAAACAATAGTTTTTTGGTTTAGTCCTTTTTCTGGGTCAAATACATATACTAATGTACTCCTGTGACCGAAAGTCAGCAAGTGACCGCTATTTGCTGACAGTGCAGAGTCACGCTGCAGCCGGGAAAGGTACCGACAATATTGTCGGGATCCACCCTGTTGCCTGATTGACAGCTGGTTCTGCCTCTCCAAAGCCAGCTGTGCCCGCGCCCTTCCCTGTCTGTCCCTCCAATGAGCGCTGGAGGAACAGAGAGGGGAGGGGGGAATCCCAACGGGGAGCGGTGACTGACAGTCACCACTCTATGCAGGGAGTAGATCATGAGCTGAGCGATCAGCAGTGGTTCATGATCACTCAGCTCTTGATCTATAGAGCCAGTATGTGATACTTGCAGCGTCACATGCTGGCTCTGAGTATTGGGAATAGTAAATTTTACTCTCCCCATACCTATCCTTTGAAAAGGATAGGTATGGGGAGAGTGAAATGCACCCTTTCCCATAATTAGAGCTGATGTGCGACACTGAAGCTGTCACACGTCGGCTCTATTGATTGGGAACATATAGCGATGATCGCCGAGTTCCCGACCTTCTCCCTGCAAAGGGGAGTGACTGTCACCACTCCCCACTGGGATTCTCCCCTCCCCTCTCTGTTCATCCAGTGCTAGAGAAGCAGGGCTAGCTGTCAATATTGTCGGGATCCATCCCGGCTGCAGCGCGGCTCTGCGCTGTCAGCATATATCAGGCAATAGCCCACTATATGCAGAGTTCTTGGTCACAGGAGGACATATACTATGTCCTGCTGTGATCCTAAAGAGAACTATGGCCAAAAAATGTTGGGCCATAGTTCTATTTCAAGGCCAGAAAACCAAGAACCAGCCAAAAATCACTTAGTTCCAAGGGGTTCATGTTTTGCCTGGAGATGGGCTTTAATAGCTTAACCAAAAATGTAAAAAAATAAAAAAGAGACCCATAGCTACCAGAAAGGCATGAGGAGCCATAAAAAGGAATACAGTTCTACAGTATATTTAGTGCTCTTTTTTCTTTTCATAATTTTTAGACAGATCTTAAACATCAAGACATTAATAGTGCATGGAAAATTCTCACCTTGAAAAGTCCTTTTAGCATGATATCAATAATCTTGTACTGTTGGTTGACATCGTTTAGTTCAATCAGGTTATTGAGGGCATTGATCTGATCCTTTCTCTTCACCTCAAAAAGCTTCTTATCTGCAATCTGTCAAGGGCTAAACTGTGAATGAAAAAGCGGTTTGTGGAAACTAAAAAAGCAAAATGAAGATTTTTGTCAGAGAATGCCAGTACAGAGCAATTCACAAAGGAGCAGAATTAGAAAAGGATCACAGCCTACACTACCTGCAGCTTTAAACTATAAATATTTAGCAGCACAATGTAAACGTACGTCAGCCCAAAATTATTTTTAGATTTAACGGACTGGAATTTTTACTGTCATCTGTGCTCTTGTTAGGGAGATTGGCCCCGATGACCTGCTGTGTCAGAGGAAGTGTGCCAAATCTCTCAAATGGGGACACAGTCATAAAATCACTTTTAATGGCAGAGTGGAGGAAGAATGAAAGCCTCGGTCAGGGTTTTATTATTGTCTGTGTTTTCGTTGATATTTGTTTACATCTTGAGGCGACATAGGGACAGGAAGGGGAAATCTTAATTGGGACACAGACCCACACAGTCATTTTTCTCTTCCTATAGTTACTGTAAAAGAAGAGCCCAGGAAGTAAGAGAGACAGCTATTTCTGCCATCTCACTTTCTCCTTCACTTCCCTCCTCTGCCGATTGATAGTAGGCAGTGGGCGGGTGCAATAACCAGCCTGCTATTGGCTACTGCAATTTTAAATAACCAATAGCAGGCTGGCTATTGCTTCCAGCCACTGTATGCGGTGTTTACATTCAGCTGTCTCAGCAGGCAGCTGTCATTCCCCAGTGAAGTGGAAAGATGACAAGAGGGGTCATAGCAATGAAGTAAATAAAATAAAAAATAAACTTAAAAATAAAATACAAAATACCCCCGGAAAAGTTTAAAGTCCCCCGACCCCGTGCATACTAACGGAACAACAAGTCGGGTGCACCTACGTATGGCAACACCACATGTCATTCATCACCGCATATCCCAGAGAGCAATAATTCTCAGGCCAATATTAATAGCTAACTTTAAACAGATGACTGGGCTTTTATTATATATTTATTTGTATTTTTCTGTCCAGTTTAGTTGTGTTATTTTAAATAAAAGTTGTTTTTTTTAATTATATTGGCTTGGAGTTGTACAATTCAGATTTTAAATCCATAAAAGAATTAACATGCCTAATATACATACAATTGTTTAAAAAAAAAAAAAAGAAGTGGGAAAAGTCATTTTTGGTTCAGCCTGACAAATTTTGCTGCGGCATGTGCGTTGTGGTGCCATTCGTTTCAATGGCACCCCAAGCAGACCTCCAGCCTGCAGTGTGATCACCCGCACTGGAACGCACGATATTGCAAAAAATGTGCATGCAGTTTTATTGTGAAGTAATCTTTAAATGTGTAACACTCCATTTGTGTATTTTATTATAAATATATTACATTTTTTTATCAGATTAATCGAAAAAATAAATCAGCCAACAAATCGATTATGAAAATAATCATTAGTTGCAGCCCTGCTGTAGGCCTCTTCGTAGCCTCTGACCAGTTTTCTCCTGGCTCTTACATCCAGTTTGGAGCGACATCTTGATCCAGGGAGGGTCTGTGTTGTACCAAATACATTCCACTTCTTAACCCCTTCATGACTGAGCTTGTTTTTGGTTTGTATTCATAAATGACTGACACTTTTGACAATTTTGCTGTGTGATTTTTCCACGTCAGTAATATACTTTCTTGCAAAGTGCACCCACACATATTATATATTGTTTTTTAGAGGACAGATATGTGATATAAATATATAGTCCTATGTGTACCCAACGCCTCACTTAGGACAAATAAAATATAAAAAAAAGGAGGAAAAAAAACGTAAAGAAAACACTTTTTCCCCAGTTTTGATTTGTGGTATTTTATTTAAAGAAAAAAATAACAGCTAAAAAAAAAAAAAATTGTCCTTTATTTGGAAAAACCTCACATTCCTAAGATTTTATAAAATGTTCGGTACTTCTCAGCCTAAAACTAAAACCTAACATTTTAATCTTTTTTCCTCTAAAAGCTAAAAGTGGTCATACAATGTCACTGTCACACTTAGTGACAGCGGCATACTTTAAACATCACTGTCATGAGGGGGTTAAATGGAAAAAAAATTACCTCTTAAATGGTGAAAAACAAATCTGAAGCTCAGCTGCAGATTTTCATTGTAGTGTGTTAATTTTTATGGTACTGATCGTAAAAAAATATATAATTTTGTTACATTTATGTTTATTTTTTTTACACTTTTCACTATTTTTTACATTTTTATTTTAATTATATCAAGCAGTCATTGTGAATTAATCTCACTATTACTGCTTGATAACGTAATTAATTTTTGGTTATTATTGGGCTGCTTCAAACTTAAGAACAGCCAATAATAACCTTAGTGACACTGATCCTGCAGCATCCAGGATCAGATGTCACTAAAGATTTTCTGTTCGTTCCAACGATTAGAAACCCACAACATTCTTTCAGCAATAGAAACGTCTATCTAAATGTCTCTATTGCTGAAAGTTTAGGGAAAAAAATGCTGGTATTAATCGGGATTTCCCGATCTATACCAGCTGTCTGAGTAGAGCCGCTCTAACCGTCACTCTGTCAGACACCCGATTCCTGAAAGGGATTGGGTATCTGAAAAAGTGCAACTCTTTCATTAAAAGATGCCTCAATACTGAGGCATCCATTAATGAACGGTAACCGCTGATTCTCAGTGGTTACCAGCCTTACAGAGCCCCAAATAGTTGATCACGTACAGTGTACGTGAGCAGTAATTAGGGCACTTTGTGAAGGGACATACAGTGTACGTCTCCCATCATGAAGGGGTTAATAGACTTCACTGTGCTTCTAGGAATTGATAAAGCCTTTTAATTTTTTTTGTATCCATTTCCTGACCTGTCCTGACCACAACTTTATCCCGGAGATCTTTTGACAGTGCCTTGCCACCCATAGTTGATTGCTTCAGTTGCACTACCAGGGACTGAAAAGCTCCAGGAAAGCTCTTTTCATGCATTTTTAGGAGGGAGTGATCCTTTTTCCTACTCAGTGATTCTGTTTTTGCATGTTGGTGTTCCATCTTTCATTTGGATGTTGTAAGTTGCACTTACATAATACAGCTGGATAAAACAAAAACTGTGTCTTCATTTCAGGCTGCAAAGCAACAAACAGTGATTTTAAAGGGGGGGTGATTCTTTTCTATACCAATTGTAGCTGCTCCACCTATCCCCACTTATAGCCTGCACCAGACACTGCACAGTCCATTGTCGTCACTCCACACAGTGCTTTCTATCACCACTAGAAATGAGCAGCAAATTCCTATAAACTTTATTTTGTTGCTAAACTGACAATATCATGGTTTCAAAAACTGACATTTCACTAACCATCCCTCCATCATACTCTCCAGTACATACTACTTGCTGTCATTTCAGTCAGACTTCTCTCCAGCACATATCGCCCACTATCATACCAACGACACTCCTCTCGTGCACACCCTGATCATCATTACCCCTGCATTGGTGTTCAATACATACTACTTGCCGTCATACCTGCTGCACTCCTCTCCTGTACATAAGGCTCACCATTATAACTTCTGCACTCCTCTCCAGCACATACTGGAAGCTGTCACGCTCTATGCAAATACTTGTCCACACTCCTCTCCTGCACATACTATCATACTTTCTCCACTCCTCTCCCACACATCTTACCCACTGAGTTCTTCCAGTTTGTAGAATCTGTGGACTGGAATTCAACTTTAATGCTTTGTGGAAAGTACAGCAAATTTTACAATTGAGGGAAGACCAAATCAGAGGAGCAAGAGCCTAAAGTGCATCCAAATCCAAAAATGTAATATACTGTAGCTTAACAGTCCTTAGATGTGGTAGCATTCGTTTTCTTTTTTAGGCTTTTTTTCTCCACATTATTTTCACCTGATGATCATGCTAATAACATATTTCTCTCATAGAATAACAATGCTTGCTCACCCTACCACACCTATGGAAGAGCAGTGTTGTCACCCAATGACAGGAAGTGTGTTAGCACCACAGAATACCTCCTTCCTCTACTCTTCTCCACAAACTAGGAGGTGGTGTTCTGCAGTGCAGATGAGATAGCTGGAGCCATTACAAATAAGAACTGGTAAGCTGCAATATTTCACATTTTTGTTCTTAGATTTAGATAGCCTTTAACAAGATGCCGCTGTTCCCTTATTTTTGCCAATTATTTCTTAGTGAAAGTAAACTTGACTGTCTACTTTCAAGAAACTGTTTGACTGAGTCAGACCGAAAAAGCTGAGATTACAGTAATAATTTGTGGATCAAATCAAATGCAGGGAAAGTCCAGTATTTATTTCCACTGGTAAAAACTTTTATCCCCTTCATGGCCCATGATGGGATAATCCCGTCATGAAGTCTGAAGGGGATAAACAGACTCACGGCAGCTTTTAAATAAGAAAAAACATGAAAACATTTTTTTTAAGTCCACAGCGTCGTCTCGTAAACACGCGTCGGGTGCGCCTACCGTGTTTCCCCGAAAATAAGACAGTGTCTTATATTTTTTTTTCCACAAAAAAAAAAAGACACTAGGTCTTATTTTCGGGGGATGTCTTATGTGTACCTGGTGAAATCGACGATTGCACTACACATGTTGGGCTATCCCAGCACACGCCAGAGTGAGAGCAATAACTGTAGGGCCAATATTTACACATCTCTCTCAGCTGATGACCTGTAGGGGCTTTTAAAGCGTAGTCTACGGACTTTTTGGGGTACTGAATTTTGTCGCCGTTTCACAGACGCACACAATTTATACCTGGACAAGTTGGGCATCTATTTACTCATCGTAACCTCATCTTTTATATTTAATTAAAACAATTTGTATTTTGTGTTTCGGGGGACTATATTTTTGGGTTTGATAATAAGTTGCGCTAATGTCGTGCAACATAAAAATTTGCAATTGCCCCCATTTTATTCTATAGGACTTGGCTTTCGGGAAATACATAATGTTTGGGGGGTTTGAAGTACCTTTCAGGCCTAAAATGTGGATTATAACATCTAAACAAAAAAAAAGGCCTTTGTTATTAAGAGGTTAAGTGAACCTGCAAAGTCTATTAGGCTCGCCATATACAGTACGTAGGCCAATCCTACTACATAGCAAAAATATGAAATAATAGGATTGATACCCAGTTTAGGTTCTGCAGCAGTAGGCTTTTTGTCTTGCGTTTAAAAGCAAATGCAGCTTGATTTCAGATGGGTTCAGCTTCCATCTGAAATCAGTTTGAGACAATTCTGAGGTAATTCCCAGTACACTGACAGGTACATTTGGCATGCAGTGGACCTTCCTCTCAGCTGCATCAACCTGTTTGAAGTTGCTATTGCATTTTCATTAACTTGTATGGGAACAGAAGTTCTGTTGCAAACAAAAGTCCATTAACATATGCCCTTAGTCACAATTGTATATGCTCAATACAAAAGTCCCACAGGCAGCGTTTCAATGGATTGGCAATATTTGCCTCAGGACTCTGGCTCATTAGAAAATACCCATTATCCAATTTCAAATATCAAGGAACTATCTTTTAATTCATGTTACTAATAAAAGCCAATATATTTTAGATTGATTTCATGAGAATTATTGGTCTTTTTTTTTTTGCAACAAACCAGCCAAGATATAAACTGCTATCTGCTCAACATCAAACACTTTTTTTTTTTAAGTAACATAGCAAAAGTGTGCCCGTTCATTTACCAGGTGAGGTCTCAGTAGAATGAATGCATTCTGTCTATTAATATGACACACCTGTGATGATAAACAGTATGGTGTACGTAACATAGATCTTAGCACCAACAGTGGAGCTGTGTAGAGTATGTTACTTACCGCATAGTGTACAGAATGGGGCAGTTTGGAATATGTTGTGCATAGCACAATGCATGGAGACACCACCATCCACCCCAATACACTGGCATACCCCATCATGCACCTCTGCAAACTTATCATATTCACCCACCAAAGCTCGAATTCACATGTGTGCTCCCATCAGAAGGTTGTCTCATTAGAATGCAGGCATATGTTTAGAAAACCTGACTAGCAGGCTTCAATTTTCCAGGTTTCTCTCCGACATGAAGCTTCACCCCCTCTTGCACATCATTTCACTGCCCCTCTTAGCACTGGCCCTGTAAAATACTAAACCCTGTCCTGTGAGAGGGTGTGGGTAGCTCTCATTCCCACTTTCTAGATTTTGTCATGACTGTTCCTATAGGAATAGGAAAGTAATTGCTTTTTACTACTACTGCATTCTTCACAACTATCTGCCCAGATAAAATTGACTGGCACATGCTTCCAATAAAATAAGTCAAACTAAACTGAAGGTCAACATCATTTACAAATAAGCAGCGGTTGTAGAGAGGGATATTGACCCACATTTCCTTTTCCAACCATATCACATTGTCTAATTACACAATTGGTTCTGGAACAGGAGTTCCTAATACTATAGTTATTCAGTTGCACTAGGATGGTATTTCAACAGACGGGAAATAAAAAGCAGGCAGAGTGCCAATATTATATTCATGCCAAGCATTTGGATGAATGTTTCTCCCTAGAAATGTGTCCCAGGAATATGAACACAGCTGAATATTATTACAGTCTGCTCTTATCTTCTGTTTATTCCCTATATGTCAAATGATCAGAGCATATCAGTGCTTCAAATAAAGCAGTAGGCTCTCTATGCCAAGACAATGCTGCATTGATTTACTAATGATCAGACTTCAACTGTGGCTCAAAAAGGTGCATAAATTAAAACACACACACACGTAAAGGGATACAGATTTCAAAAGCTGCGTCTTTCTTCTGTTTGTTGGTGTCTGAGCATTCCCCAAAGGACAGCAATGCAAAGAGGAGGAAACTCAATATTTGGAATGATTCCATCACAGGGCCCTGCAAAACAAGACAAAATGCGTGCATTGAATAAACAGTCAATGAACAATAGAAATCACCAGCACTTCATAAATAAAATGTAAAAAAAGTCCATTTATTTGGACTAAACGTCACACATCGCATAATCCAACGTTTCGGGACAGCGCAGGGTGCCTTCATCAGGGCAGAGATGTGACAAACAAGAGGCCACACTGTATGTTAACCCAACATGGTATCGCCAAGACTATGTAACACGGTTGCCTCCAGTCACATCACCGTCCACCGGCTGCAGTCAGCCAAGATTGACGCGTTTCAGGGGCAAGCCCCCTTCAGAATCGCGTCAATCTTGGCTGACTTCGGCCGGTAGACGGTTATGTGACCGGAGGCAAGCGTGTTACATAGTCGGGGCGATACCATGTTGGGTTAACAGACAGTGTGGCCTCTTTGTTTGTTGTTAAACCGTGATGAAAACGTTTGCTTGTGAGTACATTTATCCCTTGTTTTATTTATCTTAATAAGCGATTTTACACACGGAGGTGGCACTCTGTTCCCTTTTGTTTTCTATAGGCACAGGAGTGTCTAGGTACCCTCACATCCTAGGAAGTAGAATGCTATTATTCAGGAAGAATTCCAGAGTAAAAAGGTACAAGGGCCCTGCAATAATTAACATTTCTAAATGTATCTTATAAGATATAAAATCTTCAAAGGTCACTTCAAAGTAAATTGTAAGGGTGCCCACACACCTTGCGATAATCGTACGATAATCGCGGGAAATCCCGCGATCGTACGATTATCGTAAGGTGTGTGGAAGCCATGCGACCTCCACTACTGTAAGGTCGCACGACTTTAAACTTACGAACATGTTCGAAAACCCGCCGAGCATCATACGATGTCGTGCGGGTGTGTAGCATGTTCGTAAGATAAAAGCCGGACGGGGCGGTGTGTGCAAGTGCGCACTGCCCGTTCGGCATTGCGGTCATCGGAAGCACGCCCCTCAGGGTGTGTGCCCAGCATAACAAACTCTAAAATCAATACTTGACCACCAGAGTTGCTGAGTCACATTGTTGATTGGGGGATAGTAACTTTCTTTAAATACCAAAGGTGTTATGTTTAACAGTAGAAAAAGATGTGACTATGAGTGCACAAATGTGTAAATATAAGTGTGCAAGACTGTAAAAAGAATTACAGGAGGTTAACATTTAAAGGAATGCACACTGACCCTCATTGTAACCAAGTTAGTTGATAAACAACACTATACAAGTGAAACTCGAAAAATTTGAATATCGTGCAAAAGTTCATTTGCAAATAAACGCATGCGTAGGACATTCTGCATGTGCTTTGAGATTGCAGCTGCCATTCCATGGTGGTAGCCAGAATTCTCTTACACACACATAATGTGCATTAAAGGCTAAGTTCATTTTCCCAGGTAATATGGAAAAATAAAAATTACCCGATGAAATCTGGCCCTGTCTCTCCTAAACTGCCAACCCCCTGGCTATACTTATCTTTCGGCGAACAATCCCTCCCCTCCGCCAGTATGGGTGTGCTATCTGTCCCCCATACTGCTGTCCAGCGCAGTCCTCCCCTATGCATTTTGAATTTTGCTCGCAAATTGCAAGCACTCATTGGTCAACGTGGTCAGATGACTGCGCTGACCAGTGAGAAGCGCTATTTAGCACAGTAAAATATATTTTGATTAGGGGTGGACCGATACTAGTATCAGTGCCGATACTGAGTATTTGGGCAAGTACTCGTACTCACCCAAATGCTCCGATACCTACCCCGATATTGGAACTTACGGCCAGATGAAAATTTCCTCTGACTGGCAGTGCCGTAGGGGAACATGGAGCCAGCTTCCCGTGCAATCAGGAAGCCGTGCGGCAAGTAATGACCCGCCTCCTGGTTTTCTGATTGGCCCGGGAAGCCTGCTCCTTGCTGATTGGCTGGAAAGCCGGCTTCCTGGCCAATCAGCATCAAGCCAGTTTCCCGGTCAATCGGGTCATTACTCGAAGTTTTTCGCCCAACTCCTTCGATCAGCTGATTGAGGGATGCCAACCCCTGAGTGCAGACAGCGGCACACACTGTGTGAATTTTACACAGTGTATGAGCACCTTAACACTGGGCTTCCAATGAGATCCACCTGAAAAACTGACAGGGGGACCAGATTGGAATGCCTGTGTGAAAGGGCTCTTAAGGGATTAAAGTGGACAACTTAGAAAAGTACAATTTCCAATATATGAATTACCATACCAATACCCAAAATAAGAGATTTAATCTTCACTTTAAGATAGTGAGCAAAGCCATGCAAATGATTCCTTTATGCTCCTGGGTCAACTGTGCATCCAGAACTTCAGGTATACAGCACAGACAGGGCCCAATATTAAAGGAGAATTATGGGGTGAGTGAAATATACTTATCCCCATAATTCAAGCCAACCTGTGACACTGAAGCTGTCACAGGTCGACTATTGATTGGGAAGTCAGCGGACACATAGCGCTGATCGCTGACTTCCCGATCCTGTCAGTCACTGCTCCCCCAGGGATTCCCCCTTCCCCGTTTCTCTAGAACTACCTTGAGAGGCAGAGCCAGCGGGATGGATCTGGACAGTATTGTTGGGATTCGCCCCGGGTGTGGGGTGGCTCTGTGCTCTCAGCATATAGCGAGCAGTAGCCTGCTATATACTGAGTTTTGGGTCACCAGAGGACATTCATATATGTCCTCCCGTGACCCTGAAGAGAACTTTGGGCAAAAAAAGGCCTCTTGATCAGGTCATCTTCTTCCTTCCACTTGTATTCAGCAATCCCCCCAGCGCTGGTACCAGTCTCTGATCCAGCGCAGACTAGTCATCTCCCATGTTGTCTGTCCGACGTGCAAACTCATGGCTGCATGCATTCACCTCCACTGTGTCTCTCCTCATCTCCCCGCCGATGATCTCCCCATGCACAGCCGCTCGAGAAGCTACAGATCTATAGCCGGGAGCGAGCGGCGGAGACGGAGGTAAGTTGTTACCTGTTTGGTAATTTTTTTTTATGTTTTGCATACATCTACTACTTGCTAGCAGTAGATAAATGCAAAAAAAGGGAGACTTTAATACTACTTGAAATCTTAAAAAAGCATTGAAGTACTTAACAAAAATGTAGCTTATTTATGCATCACTGGGCTGAAGATTCTCAAATCATCTCTGAATTCATGTGGACCCTGACCATCCTTCTGGAGGGGGGCTACTTTTGTTCCCCATGTTCCCTGCATGTGTGTTGTAAAGTAGCCACCACTCCGAGCTCACTCCCATGAGGACTACAATCTCAATACAAGTTGGTAAACTAAATGCGAGATTGTAGTGCATCACAGGAGCAAGCTTGGAGGGGTGGCTACTTTACAACACACACAAGGACCATAGGGTCCTTGTGTGTGTTGTAAACAACAACACACACAAGGACAAACAAAAGTAGCCATCCTCTAGAAGGAAGGACAGTGCCATTGGTTTATATAGATTATATAAACTAGACCCTCAATATGCCAACTAAATCAAAAATCTCAGAGTACTTGCTGCACCAAGATCAGGAAGACCGAGTCACTGCTGAAACTGAAATCCAATAGAAGCACTTGCTCTAAACTGAACAAAAAGAGTGGCTACTTAACCACTTGCTGTCTGGAGCATTTTCTTACGATTTGCGCACACATGATAAAATATACATTTTTGGCTAGAAAACAGCTTCAAACCCCCAAACAATTATATATTTTCTGAAAGCAGAGGCTCTGTAGAAAAAAAAATGCTAGTTGCAATTTATGTTGCGTGGTTTTTGGGCAAATGTTTATCAAACCAGTATTTTTAGGAAAAAATAAACTAAATTAAAATTAAGTGCACAGAAGAGCTCAGTGAATTCAAGCGTGGTACCGTGATAGGTTGGCACCTGTGCAATAAGTCCATCCGTGAAATTTCCTTGCTACTAAATATTCCACGGTCAACTGTTAGTGGTATTATAACAAAGTGGAAGCAACTGGGAACAACAGCAACTCAGAAGAGTTGAAGCTGCTACAGCGGCAAAGGGTGGGCCAACTCAACATTGGACCCTACGGACTAAAGGTGCCCATACACCTTACAACCATTGCAAGACTTTTGTTTTGCGATGGTTGTAAGCTAATTAAAACCTTGTACGATCTGCCCATCTTGGACAGGCAGATCGTACTTGCGATCTTCGAAAGACCGCCCCGCTCAGGGGCGGGCTTCCGATGACTCCAATGCCGCACAGGCAGTGTGTTCGGCATTTGTCTCCGAGAGCGGCACTAACCTGCCGAGAATTGTACGATTCTCTGCTGGTTTTCAAGCCTGCACGGGAGACAAAATACGTGCGACCGTACAGTAGAAACGGTCGCACGCCTTCCATACACCTGCCGATTATCGTACGATCGCGGGATTTACCGTGATTATCGTACGATAATCGGCAGGTGTATGGGCACCTTTAGACTGGGATGCCATTTAAGTTTATGTGCATGTTAAGGCAGGCGTCCCAATACTTTTGGGAATATAGTGTATATCCAAATTGGTGAGCAGCAAAAGTTTTTATTGCATCTCCTTTGTACAATTTTGCTAGCAATCTTGAGGCTTGATATATTGGAAAAAAATATTTACTCAGCACAGTCTCATATTTACTATTTTGTGAAAATATGGTGTTTGTGTGCATTTAAACCCAAGTTAAACTGAGTGCATAAAGATTTCTTAAACGGCTGTGCAAATATCATGAAACATTAAAAAAAATAAAAAATTGCAACTAAAATCTTTTTATTCTACAGGTCCTGTGTATTATATATTATACATACATATTAAAAATGATACATTTTTAGGTTACAAAATCATTAAAACTTAAAAAATGTGTCCAGCAGTAAAGGTTCATTTGTGGGTCACATGCTGAGAAGCATGGATGTTATGATGTTAGCACACTTGCCTTTTAGCACCTGGGTCCAGGTAAAAACTGCAACCGGAACAATTACCAGCAAATAATTAAATGCTCTTTCCTTATTTGTTAAGAA